TAATTAATTTTCTTATTCTATTCAAATTAGTCAACTAACTTTTTATATTAAGAACCAAAGATAGTAATTGTTAAAATTCAATGGGAACTGTTCATAATAAAAGCTATAAATTGTACCCATCAAGACGCGTCTTCTGATTAAATTATGATATATAAAATATGTTATTACGTGTGGCTCTTCATTTATGTGAATATAGTCATATCTTTTTAGATTGTCTAACAGAACAAAATGGTAATTTGTCTAAAAAGTTGGAGATTTATTAGAACATAGAGTGATGTACTAATTAAAAACCAAAAAAAATGAAAAAGATCTACCTTATGCATGCCCTAGAAAAGATTAACATATATCGTCAGGGAAAGTATGTTTGTTGATTAGTACTAAGCCAATATAAAATAAAAGTCAAAATGATTAATTTACTAGGAATTAAAAAAAAATACATGGAGCCAACAATAAGCACTAATAATTTAATAAAGCTGAGTCCAAAAGCAACATTACCATTGCCGAAACAACACAAGAAAATTGTACCTGCCGGCTCCTCAATAAATACTGTTTAATGTCCAGCAGGGTAGAAGCGCAAGGGGCATTTAAGCTATGCTTCTCTACGGGGCTGTTTGGTTTGAGGGAAGGGTAGGGGAGAGAGGAGAGGGTGGGTTAAGGGAGGATGGGAGAGGTTTTAATCTTACCTCATTTGGTTTGATTGGGAAAAAAAGAAAAGAAAAAAGAGAGAGGGATATTCAATGATGCCTTATTTGGTTCGAGAGAGGAGAGGAATAGTAACAATTAATTTACTATTTTACCCTTATATATTAGTTCATAGTTTTATTTATATACTCCATCCGTTCCTTATTATAAGAGACATTTGGTGCTTATGGCATGTTTCTATATATAAGAGACACTTAAAAGTTGTCTCTAATTTTTTGTGTTGATTTCCTATTTTACCCATATTTATTGTCTCCAACTCACACTCTCTCTCCTTCCCACTTCTCTTTCTTTTAATAAATTACCATTGTTCTCTCTCATGTTCTCTCTCCTTATTAATGAGGGTATTTTTGGAAAAAAAATTATACTTTTTACATATTAATTGTTCTTAACTAATTTTAACTGTTTTTTTTATCAACGTAATTCGGTTATTCGTCTCTTATAATAAGGAACGGAGGGAGTATTATACAAACTCATTTACATCTTATTTCAAATTATATAATTCAATAAATATTTGGTCTTATCATAATATGTGTATTTTAAAATTATCGCGGTAATTTTTTATTTTAGTAAATATAATAATATAATTTAAATAATCAAATTAATACATTTTATATGCTCCAAAAAAAATGAAATTTTTTCCTTTTCTATTTTTTCCCAACTTTAAAATATATTTTAATTAACAACATAATATATTTGTAAAAATTAATTCATTTTGTAATAATATAATTTTTCATTGCAATAATATTTTTTTATTTTAAATTAGTTTTTATTATAATAATATTTATTTTTTATTTTTCTTATGATAATATACTTTTATCTAAAATAAATATTATAATAATATACTCCTCCGTTCCTTATTATAAGAGACATCTGATGCTTATGGCATGTTCCTATATATAAGAGACACTTAAAAGTTGTCTCTACTTTTTTGTGTTGATTTCCTATTTTACCCATATTTATTGTCTTCAACTCACACTCTCTCTCCCTCTCACTTCTCTTTCTTTCAATAATTTAATTATTCTCTTTCATGCTCTCTCTCCTTATTAATGAGGGCATTTTTGAAAAAAAAATTATATTGATTGTTCTTAACTAATTTTAACTGCTTTTTTGATTAACGTAATTCGGTTATTCATCTCTTATAATAAGGAACGGAGGGAGTATTTTATAGGCATTAATAAAATATCACAAAAGGATGAGATCCCTTCGAAAAACTCTAATTTTAGGGGGAAGCTTAACCGAATGAGGGGAGGGGCTCCCCTCCCCTACCTATCTTTCCAACCAAACACACCCTAACAGTGCATTAATGAGTATCTTGCTATTAGATTCTACTATAATGTTTCTGAGTCCCTTAAGCATTGCCTATTCTTTTGCGTCATGGGCACTATAATTCCCAAGATAATTTGAGAATCCAGCAATCCAATTACCTTGATAATCTCTAAAAACACCACCACAAGCAGTAGACTTTGAAATTTCAGATTTAGCCCCATGGACATTTAATTTTGCAGTAGTTGGAGGAGGTGGAATCCACTGCTTAGCATGAGAGATAGCAGTACTAACATCACACTGTAAATGATCTTTCCTCATAATGAATTTGTGACGGGTATTTAAAATCATAATGGCTGGTTCAAGAGGTTTCTGAAAATTATCTTGATAAATGAATTCATTTCGCCAATTGCAACTCCCCAGGTGAGACTCCCTTCAGTGTTCCCGTTAGAAGCAAAATCCTGTTTCAGATTCATAGAAACCCACTCAACAAGAGAGGCCGAAAAGAAGAGCTGAGTGGCAGAAGGCTTTATAATTCTCAACCATTGATGTCTTGCATAAGCACAACCACGCTGGACACTTGGAGGAATAATAGGCAGAGGAATATTTAATTTGTTGTTCCACTTTCGATTGGGCTGATCCTTTTTGTCCCAAACAAATGCCATTAATCTGCACTGTCATTGAGAACGAAGAAATTTAATTTGCCAATGAGGCTACGCTTTTTGGAATTCAGATTGGCTCCGCCTAACGCGCAACTCTCAACTATTCCTTTTTAGAATAACTATAGGGGAAAATGACAAAAAAAAAAACAAATAAACTTCGTAATACCAAAAACATATCCTAAATTTGAGAAATTTCAATTTCGTCACAAAAAACTAATTTGACATTTATAAGTTTGTTGAAATGACCATATTACGTTTTATTTTATTTATTGTTTTTAAAATACTAAAGCCCCACTGGCCAGCTGCTCACTGGAACTCCGATGACCAGTCGACAATTGGTTCCCAAAGCTCTCCAGTGATCGGCCAACAATTAGTCGCCAGAACTCTAGTAGTTGGAAATAATTTTTTAAAATTTTTTTACAACTTTAGTGTAACAGTTAACAACTTTTGTAACACTATTAACAACTTCAGTATAACAGTTAATAACAGGTTTTCTAGGAAATTCAACAAGCTCCGGCAGCTAAAATTTTTTTTTTTGAAAATTTTTACAACTTCAGTATAATGGTTAACAACTTTTATAATGCTATTAACAATTTCAGTATAACAGTTAACAAGTTTTTCAAACAATTCAATAATTGGTCATCGGAGCTCCGACAGCAAAAAACAATTTTTTAAAAAATTTTTACAACTTCAGTATAACAGTTAACAACTTTTATAACAACTTTTGTAATGTTATTAATAACTTCAATAGAGTACTTAACAACAAATTTTTTCGAAAAATTTAAAAAGTAGCATTTTTACAATTTGTAAGAAAACATGCCTTTTTTATTTTTAAGAAAACATGTTGTTAAACGCTATATCGAAGTTGTTAATAAAGTTACAGAACTTGTTAACGGCATTACTAAAGTTGCAAAATTACTACTTTTTGAATTTCTCAAAAAACTTATTGTTAATAGCGTTACAAAAGTTATTAATCGTTATACTGAAATTGTGAAAATTTTCAAACAAATTGTTTCCAACTGCCGGAACTCCGACGACCAATTGTTGAATTTTCCAAAAAACCTGTTGTTAACTGCTATATTGAAATTGTTAATAGCATTACAAAATTTGTTAACCGTTATACTGAAATTATAAAAATTTTCAAAAAAATTGTTTCCGGTTACTAGAGCTTGTTGAATTTCCTAGAAATCCTGTTGTTAACTGCTATATTGAAATTATTAATAGTGTTACAAAAGTTATTAGCCGTTATACTGAAGTTGTAAAATTTTTTAAAAAAATTGTTTTCGACTACCGCAGCTTTGGCGACCAATTGTTGGCCAGTCACTGGAGCTCCGGTGACTGCCATCACTAGAGCTCTGACGACTAGCCGGTCAATGGGAGCTTTGGAATTTTAAAAACAATAAATAAAATGAAGGACTATATGGTCATTTAAGCAAACTTATAAATGCCAAATTAGTCTCTTATGACTAAATTGAGATTTTTCAAATTCAGGAAATGTTTTTGGCATTATGAAATTCATTTGTCATTTTTCTGTCATATTCCCTAATTATAGTTTAATATTAAAATTAAAATTATATAAAAATTATTAAATAGTTTAGATTATTAAAATATTTCAGATTACGTCTAGTTAAAATATTATCATATTAAATCTTTAATTATCTTCTTGGTGTTCTCCATCTCCCCTTTAAATCAAGGGTTGTTATGAAGAGAATTTGTACAAAAATAATTAACTCTTTAATTTAGTTTTAAAGAGAAATTTATTTTTTTTAAATTCCAAAACAATAATTATTTTGCAACATAAAAATATTTCAATTCAATTTCAATTATGTGAGTGTTATCATTTTTTAATTTTATACATAATATAAAAATAAAAATATTTCAAATTTCTTTTTAGCATGCTCGAAAGTTAACAAAATAAATATGGATTTCAATTAATCTTATATAAAAATAATCATTTGTGTCCCTTTACAGTGCACAAACCCAAGCATCTCAACTACAGCCACATACACACACCGCTACGTCGTCAATTTGCACCATAGATGGACAATATGCATAATTCAATTAAGTTGACCATGTAGATAATCCATACTTAATTCACTACCATCGTACACTTTATTTTCGTCTCATTTTAAATATACACTGTGTAGTGTATTCAAATGATAATTAGATGGTAAAAATTTATCTGGGCTAATTACTTGGATATGAGAAGAGGACTTGCTGATTTTGTTAAGAGGACTTGTTAAAGAGCAGTAAACCACCGTTATATAATTATTGATTCAATCACAAGCCATCACACTTTTTCAAAACAAAACAACAAGGCAAAAGTCTGAAAAAGAGTCAAGAAATTGAAGGACGTTGCTCTCCGGCTTCTATTTAGCCAACGGTTATGTTTCTGCTTTCCGTCTCTGTTTCATCTTCTTCTTTAATATTGTTCGATAAAAATTCCTTCAGGCCAATTGTCAAAGCTGATGTTGAAACCATGGAAGCTTTGAGGATGCTCAGAACCTGCATTTGTATGTATGCATGAGTCTGATACAGAAGGCAAAAAAAGATTGCGGCAAGGATGCAAATAAATCTGATCATATTCACAGCAAAAGGAAAGAAAATAACAAAAGAAAACCCCAAACCATTAAACTTCTTGTTTTTTCGACCTAAACAAAATTTGCATCTCCTTTAATTTGTCTTTCTAAAGGTTAGAAGATACGCACCTCTTGTACGCCAATGCAGATTGTTCTTTGCTCCAAGTCATCGTAAGGCACCTTGAATTCAGTTAGTAAAGATGATAAAACATCGCGAGATGATAAAGGTTTCACAGACAAGTCGTCGGCAACCATGAACATGGTTCCACCCTTGGCATATCCTTTGCCTGATTTTTCCTCCGCTATTGTGGACTTAGGATCGCACATTCTTACTTCTCTCTTATCATAATAGTCACTATACATCTTATACAACTTTGCATCGGCAGTCAAATAATATGGACCCTTCCCCCAACAAAAACTTAACTTTGACGGATAAGTCATTTCATCGATAGGTAACATCTGGTTACTCGCCTTAAAATATGGGGCTACCTTCAGGCTAGCGAACACATTGTTCATCTTCTCCGACTTCAAGTGCCTGGTTGAATCAAAGTTGGTCAAACTGTTATATAAATTATCGACACACACCAACCCATAGTTTCCTTCTAAAACTCTCTCCACAGCTCCTAGTGGGAATGTCAAGAAACTAAGAATCTGATCCATGAAGTCTTCCTCAACTTCAGCAAACAATATCTTGGACTTCGATTTTGACATCAATACCTTAATCCTCATCGTCCCAGGGTTCTCTCTGTCTTGTCTCTTATCAGTTATCTTGAATGAGGTTTCGGAATGCACAAGCTTGTGCTCCTTTCTTAACAATGAATCTGTGAGTGCCGTCTTGGAGACCAACAAGTACTTGAGTAGGTCCAAAATCTTCGAAAAACATAATAAATTAAAGCGTTAGGTGATGTGATATAAAGAAAATAAGATATAATTAATGTTTCCAGAATTCAACCTCATTTGAACTAAGAACCATAGTGGATTCCTCCGGTGGATGTTCAGAGCATAGATTCTTTAACAGGCACAATGTTGTATTGAAATTAGCAGGAGTTACTGATAGATCGTCAGAAATAATAAAAGATGCAGTCTCCTTTACATAGCCTTCCCATGTATTATCTGCATTTTGGAGTAGGTATGAAAGAAGTAATATTAATAATCGAATCAAATACGGTTTTTTTAATAAGGATAACAAAAAATACAAAATGCATTGCAATTATTACCTCCAGCATCACCACTCGCGTTTTTATCGGATCCACTTAACAGAGGACTGCATAAGAGCGATTTGCAAGGGTTCAGAAGGAACGTATAATCCCCCCCACATTTGCATTTCATATTCCCGGAAGTGCTCACCAGAGAATCTCCTCGACCACGACAACGTTCACAAAGATAATACTTGGTTGGCTCAGTGTCATCAATGTTGAGTTTGAGGTTTTGATTATAACGTTCCATGGAGTTCCTTGGCTGAAGCAGCATTTGCTTGCAAGTCTCCGAATTCAAATACTTGGGGTCCAGATTTCCCACACTTTCATACAGCGAGCTTATGCATCCGAATCGGCAAGGCTTCGTGTTTGAATCCCTACTTACGAGTCTAGCAATAGTTCCCAGTGGCAGTGTCAAAAAGCTTAAAAGAATATCCACAAAATCCTTCTCTGCTTCGGCAAAGAGCACTCTGTTTTGCTCTTTGTCCACAACAACTCTCAATGAAATTTGTTCCGGAATAGCAGTTGAAGCCATGGGAGCAATATTATTAACCCACCAAATCCAGCAAACGTTTCAGAAACTGTAACGGGAACGTAACGTATTTGAATTTGAATTTGAATTTGAAATATATATGTGTGTGTGTATAAAGCATGCAAGAAGATATATCGTACCTGTACTGGAGAGTGACTCTCGTTATGGAGGTTATGGTTATGAACAAGGGCTCTTCAATTATTGGAAACTGATGATATAACCAATGCTTTGCGACTCCTCCTTCGTTGCTAAGGTAAATGCTTGCAATCCTTTGGAAGTCAAAAAGTTCTTGCCTTCATTGCTAAGTCGAGATTCTTTGTTAAAGCCTTTCGGCCCATCTTCACCTCTTTAGCTCTTCTCCAGTAATTACAATAATTGAAGAAAAATAAAATCGCCTAAAACATAAAGTAAATTATTATATATATATATAATTATATCAAGTTCTCTTATCACATATGGATATGTGTCATGTGTCATATATGACTATATGTAATTGAAAAACATGATATAATTGGACATAGGAGATTTAATCTAAGTATTTTCCTATATATAATTAGTATATAACATAAATCTTTTAACATATTTATATCTAATTTTTAAACTATATAATTAAAATAAATACGCGTCCTTATTTTTTAAGTTGTGATCGCGGATATTAGAAGACATAAAAATCACCCATTATCGTGTTTCTGATAATTTTTTTAGAAATTTATTAATATAGCCATAATTATATTAGTGAGAAGACTATCTTACATTTTGTTTTAAAAATTAGACCCTAAATTCAAAAGAAAACCTCACCAGAACACATCCTATACGTATGAACGCAGCATATGGTAATATTAAATTCATTAGAGTGTTTTATGCAAACATGAGCCAGAAAACCAACCGCATTATTTAAGGAGTAAATCATAATACCATTGGTTACATTTTTTTCATGTACTCATTTGACTGGACCGGATCGGATTGCAACATTAAGAGTTGGGAGAATCATTATAAAGTTCTAAATAAAAAACATATTTACTTAAAAATTTTATTAATAACAGAGCACCTTGCAACAATAAATTTCAGAATAATAAATAATAACTACTCACTTATTATTGGGACTTACCAATCATGGAGAATTCATTGTAATTCTCCCTCCAGAATTACAAATTTTATTATTGGGTTGCTTGGAGCTGCCTTAATTCATAGGCCTTGCCTTGTTTCAATAAGCGGTACCATACTTGGGCTTATATTCATAAACCCCATTAGACCGTATATATTAAATATTGAAAATACATTATACTTTGTATCCAAAAAAAAAAAATACTATGCTACATATTATAAAGTAAATAATAATTTATTCTCAGAAACGGTATCTAGATGTGAATAATTCTGTAAGTATCGCACTGAAACCTTTCAACCTTTCAAGAAAACTAGAAAACTAAATGTTGTAAACACGTCATGTTTTATTTTGTGGAAGAGTAAAGAGCAGTTTACTCTTATTTTGATACAGTAAAAATATTCATGTATCAATTGAAATTGATTTTCTTTTCAAATGAACTTAAAAGATCAACCTGCACGGCTGCACTTTATTCTAGTTTTAAGGAAATCTTTTGTCTTCTTGATTATTGACGAGAAGGTGCCTTCTCAAGCTATAACTATTAAAGGTTAAGTTGAAAAAGTTGCAAATTTTTTAATATTCAGTTAATTTTAATTAATTTCCTTAATCCTTAAAAATGTAGTTAATATGATTTAATAGAAAAGACTAGAGAGAGTAATTAATTTTGAAATAATTAAAAAAAAAAAAGAAGTGGAACAATATATGATCCGACTTGCTTCAACTCCTTACAATGTTTAAAAAAAGCAGTATTTCCTCCCGCTGAAGGTAGTAATCATGATTCCTTAAAAATGAAGTCTTGTAATTTGCTTCCAACTTTTTTTTTCTTTCTAACCTTTTTATCTTTTTCTTTATTTTTTGCCCCTTTTTGCAGGAGAATTTGCTTTTTCATTATTTTTTTGGCCAAAGAGAATTTGCTCTTTCAAGTTTTGAAGAAATTAGTTTTTCTGGGTCGGCTTCGAAGAATTCTGTTGTTGCTGCTATTATTTCTGTTGCCAGACTAATATTTCATTTATTAACACTGCCATATTTCTTTTACATTGAAGGTCACATCTTTTTCTTTCTAAAAATTCCATTTTTCGGAGGCCTTTTTGCTTTGCTTTCATGGAAGTTTTGATGAATCATTGGCAATCCCAGACGCTGCTAAATATTGCTGCTAAACTTTAGTTGCATGGTTGATGCACATTTGGTGCTATATATATATATATATATATATATATATATATATATATATATATATATTAGTTGCAAGGGAGAATCTGATAATGGGAAGGCATACATATATATTATTATATTTATTTATGTACTATGTACTCTCTCTTTTTTTTGGCTTGAACTTATTATTATATATGTGGTTAGGGTTATTATATATATTTGGAGAAAAAATAAACAACTTTAAATCATTAGATAAATTTATGTATATGTAAATAAGGGTAATTTTTTCTTTTGACGCACTATTTTTACCTATTCCCATATTCTTTGTAATCTAAGCAAACATTTTTTATGTCTATGCATCACCTTTCTTTAACGATATACCAAACAAACTCATGTAATCATCATTATATTTTATTACATTGTATTACATTTCCTTACATTTCAGTAAACCAAACAGGCACTTAAAGTATTTTTTTACCTTATTGCTAGATACACCAAAAAATATTTTAGAGTGCTGGATATATCTAAAAAAAATACTTTAGAGAGCTCGATGCTTCGAAAAGTATTTCATGGTACTGGATACATTTAAAAAAAATAATTCAAAATATTGGATATGCCACAAAATATAAAATACTCCAAGATACTGAGTGCTTTATAATCCATTTAAAGAATTTATATTATTTTTTAATATTTTCATTTCACACAGAAAAAAAATTCTTTTAAAGAACACTGACTTCTGAAAAGAGAAAGATGGAGAAGTGGCTCTCGAAAGAAGCCCAACCTACTAATCATTTAGCGCTCGTTTGGATCTTTGTTTTGGAAAGATAACGTGCCTAAGAAACTGGAGAATGCACGTTGGTGAGTCACTTGGTGATAAAAGTTTGTTTAGGTAGGCTACTTTTCAAACCAACTCCTGGACAAAAAGCTAAGTGCGTCATAACGCTAGGATTTCTGGCTTTTAGAGTTTGTAACGTGGAGAAAGAAGGAATAAAGATGAAAAAAAAACATAAGAGTATTTAAATAAGTTCTATCTTGGTCCAATAATTTGATTTTTTTTCTAAGATAAAAAAAATTAACTAATAAAATTTAATTAATTATTTTTCTAAAATTTATCAACTTGTATACATGTCATATATTATCTTTGCTTCTTAATATAAGACCCCAAAAGACTAACTTGAATAGATTAAAGAAGCTAAATAAATTACTTAATTATATTATATGTTACATGATATCTCTAAAATACTTATGTGTATCATTAGATATTTAGATTACACATTAGTTTATAAGTCAAATAAATTAATTTGAAGAAAAGCGGTAAATATAAATATTTTAAAGTAATTTATTTAACTTCATTAGCCTCCCCCAAATTAGTTAACTTAGTCTTATATTAAGAACTAGAAGTAGTATGTTATAAAACTTATGTCCCTTTGCTATCATTTTATATCTAAACTTATTTTTTTATTATCCATCCAAACAAGTTTTAACTTTTCAAACTGACTATCCAAATATAAATCATTTTATACTAATTAACTTTTACTCTAACTGACTTTTACAAAAGTCAGATAGAATAAAAGTCAATTTTGTCACCACCAATACAAACACACCTGACTCATTGAAACTAAAAATTTCTTATCAAATGATCTTGATCCCTCTTACATTGTCTTAAAAAATACATGAAGAGAACAAAAACTACTTACAAAATATTTACAAATTATTTATCACTTATGTGTCATTCGTAGGTTCAAAC